TGATAAAATAAGTACGCATTTCTTTTTAGCCATGTAACTGTAATATTTTTAGTGCTGTTTGAAGATTGTATTGTAATGAGTATGAATGATTTCATGCTCAATTTGTATCAATATCATATTGAAAGATGAATCATTTTGTGCCTCGTGCAGGAATTTAATATTGGTCTTTTTCCAGACATTGGGCCTAGAGTCAGAACCTGCAGGATGAGTAAAGATGCACTGGGCATGGGAATTGGACAGAAATTAAAGGTGAGTGTATTTCAAAAGCAAAGCACATTGCAGCGAAAATGAGCTCTTCTCATAAGGGTTAGTTCTGATCTGGCCCCATGGACTGCTTTAGAAGAAAAAAAAAATGTGACTTATTTTTATCAACAAATTACAATGAACTTACAAATGAACAAATTGCTTAATTCTTCAAAACCCTTTAGGGATATTGTAATCTTAAAATCGGGAAGGTCATTTTAGTGTTGGTCTACAGTGCTAAGTTCTTCTGCAGGCTACAGAAAAAAATTATATAGCGTTTGTAAGACCAAATGTGTTTGCTAAATACATTTCTCCAATAAACAGGGCATTGGCTTAAAGAAATGCATTTTTTTTTTTAAATAGTTGTGTTTAGCTTTCTTTTATTGCTTCTGAATGTTTGGTGTTTAAGACCTTTTTAGTAAATACATGCTTACTGTAAGGCCTTTAGCTTTATCATTAGGTAGTCATTTAGGACTACCTCCTTCAAAAAAAATTATGACTCTTATCACTCCTGAAATAACAAGTAATTATGAAATATCATGAAATCTGTGGGGAAAAAAATCATGGTTTAATTAAATTCTGAGCTTAATGCTCATAACCCCTCTCAAGAATGGGCTTCCGAGCAGTGAAATGCTAGTTGAGATGTGTGTGATGGGTTATTGCTGTGACTTTATCATAAATGCTTGTGTTAGCTGAGAAGTAACATTATTTCAAAAGTGAAATCTGCTATGGATGAGTCTAAACAGTAAGACTATTCTGCAGATTTCCAAAAGGCTGATTTAACATTCAGAGAGTTTTCTGCGAAGCTTTGGACAACTAGAGGATAAACATTGTGCTGGAAGCAGAGGTGTGTAACAACTGCCCAGGCAATGGTGGGAGGGGTGAATAGGGTTTGGAGACTCGTGAATGGTGCTTTAAAGATGAAAAATGCCTGTCTAGTTGTTCAGGAAGCATGACTGTACTTCAGCTGGGGGCAGAAAGCTTCGAAACAGATGGTTGAGGATGGCTGCGATCATAAAAAGCAGAAGCTTTTTAAAATGTTAACAACTTGCACTTCTAATCATTGCTTCAGCTGAAGTTTAATGTGCTGGTTACAGGTTAGAGTATATTACAGCAAAGATCACAATGTTTTCATGTTATTAATATTATGAGATCTGTTGTTATTGCTGCTAAGATTGCTTTTCAGATGAAATCACTGTTTAAAAACTCTGGGCTGTATATAATTAGCAAGTATAGGATATTGTTGTCATCTGGAAAGCACCTTGGGAGGCTTTTCCTTGCTCTGGGAGCAGCCCCTGGCCCCAGCTTTGCTTTATTTTCCCAGTTCTCTCATAACCAAATGCAATTTGTCTTCAGCGCAACTGGAATAAAATGACATTAAGAGATAGGCTTTCATATCAAAGTTAAGCTGTACCCTTTATGTGAATGTTCAGGACGATGATACAGACTTTTAAGTAAGTTATTACTGTATATGTATTTTAAACAGTAATCATTCTTTTCTTTCTTGGGTATATGTCATTGGCTCCTGAGAAACATAAAGAGAAAACTGTATCAGTGTGTTTTAAAGTAACACCTGGAAACATTTAAAAAAAAAAAAAAAAAAAAAAAAAAAAAAAAAAAAAAGACAGTAGACATGAAGCATACTTAACTGTCTCTGTTGTGTAGTGTCTTATTTTTAACCTCAAATCTGAGACATCTTTCAGTCAGAACTAATAATGATGTTTGACTGCAAGTTTACAGATTCTTTTCCCCTTCTTTACATATAATACATGTCCTTACCCACATGTGCACAGATGTGCATATGTTGTGTTTAATATGACAAAGGAATAGGGTGTCTAAATTGCATTAAAAAATTGCTTTCTGGAATATCTTCTTTGTTAAAATGGTTTATTAGAGTGTTATATCTTTAAGATTGGAAGAGAAAGTTTAGAAACTTCAGTATATGAATAACAAGATGACATAACAGCTCTGGAAAAATATTTTGCAAGACATTTTCTTTTTTTCATGATTGCTTGAGATTTTTACATTATTGTGCCTCATATTTGAGCTACTCTGTTCCTTTTGGAAAGTAGGGCTTTTCTTGTGTAAATGCCAGAGGAAGTAAAAGTACTATTCCCATACTTATCTGAGCATATAGAGAATGCTATATGGGTGAGGCAATCAGAGGAAAAATGAGAAAGAGCAACAATATAAGAAAATAAATGTAACTAGATTTTAATTACAGTCCTAGTGACAGGTAACCTGTATATCTGTTCCATGGCAATAAAAGGGAACATTTGTACCCGTTCCCACCTACTCAAATTTTTCATTAGCTCTTTTCCATTGTGGAAATTTTTTACTCCAGCTCATGTTTGGCCAAATAAATAAGTAAAAGGCAAATAGCAAACAAATATTTCAAAGAATTTTCTGATCCTCAGCAACTAGGGAAATCTCTCTCTCTCTCTCTCTCTCTCTCTCTCTCTCTCTCTCTCTCTCTCTCTCTCTCTCTCTCTCTCTCAGCTAAGTGCCAGGACTATTAGACCAGCGCTCCATGTTTTTCTGTCATTGTGGCTCAGGCAATTTCCCTTGATTACTCTATAAACATCATCACCATGTGCATTTTAAAAGAGAAAAATGCCTGCTCTCCAGTAATATTTAGGTAACTGTCATCTGGACAGTATTTTGGTCTGTTTGGCCAAATGAGATATTTTACTGTGGGTAAAACACCTAAGCCCCAGAGGAGAAGTGTTTCCTATTTATTTTCAGAAGAGCTCTCTGTAATTGGCTCATTTCAGGGAGCTGCTTGAAAGGAGAAAGAAGTGGTTAGGTCAGGGAGGAAAGGCCTGGGAACATCTTAAGCTGGCTTTGCTCACCAGAGATGAGACAACGTATCATGTAACTACACCTTAATACAGATGTTTGGATTCCTTTGGGAGGGAGCTGATCAAGTGCTTAAGAGGTTCTGCAGCACCTCTTAACTTTTAGACATGCAAACATAATTTATTGTTTTTTGGAGTCCTTATTTCTGTCACAAGTAAGTACTTTCAGCAGTGCAAAGGAAATTCAGTGTTGTTATAATTTATCTGAATACTTTTTCATACAGACACACATTTATGGTGCACTGTGCAGACATTTTCCTCTCCAAAAGAAAGATCGGGTTCCTCGTTACCAGTTTTTCTGAAGGCTTGAGAATAAAAGCATGAGGAATGCTTTGGAAAAACATTCCTATTCAGGAAGGCCATTGTGTGTGGAATTAACTTTTTAAATAACAGCTTAAGGTAAGTGTAGATAGTTGGGGGAAACTGCTTCAGAAAGCCTACTGTGCCAAAGATGGTATTTGGTGTTTGCTGTTACCCTTGGGCAATACTTGCTAGGAGTTTTTACAAAAATCAGATTGCTTTCCCCTAGATTATTTCCAAATTACACTTTTTTTGGTCTCTGTTGGATGTTATAGAACTGATTAAAACGCGGATGTCTTCACTTGCTGAGAACAGGCGCTGATCACCCACTTCCTCTGAACCATTTCATTTGTTCTTATTAACTTCCCATTTTTTAGCTGTCTTTTGAACACATGCTCACCTGTTTCAATAGATCCAAAATTACTAATAAAAATATCCCTAAATAGGTAACAGATGTGCAAGTGAATATAAGTGGAAACAGTTGAATAAGGGAAGCAGCTCTAGAGCTGTCATCAAGCTCTTCACAAACACTAGATTTTTTTCACCTGCTCATGCAGTGCTTGCCCAAGACCTATTGGCAGTGACTATGTATATCATTTCTCACCATTTTTCCCCTCTCCCTCTCAAGCTTTTTGAGAGGCTTGTGACTTTATTATGTTCATCTTTAAATTCTCCTAAATGTGCTAAGCAATGTAAAGTGGTTGCCATTAAAAAGACAAGTTTATGTGCTGCCAATATTTTAACTTCTTCTGAAATTTTCCCTTGGAAACCCGCTGAAATCTTTCCAGCTTATGAGAATCTTGTGTATGCATGTAAACTCCATGAGGAGAGCAGCAATGTTTATTAGTTTGTTTTTTTCTCTTTTAAACCAAATATACTTTCTGAAGAAAGTTATAAAAGTTTGGTTATAGAATAATTATTTCAAGAGTCCTTGTTTTATATATACATGTCCCTTCCAGCAGCGTTCTCAGATCCCAGGTAAAGGGACAAATCCTCTTTGCCTTAATCACTTTATACAAAATAAAGCAGAATACAAAAGGATGCAGAAAAGAAAGTAGCTGCTCAAAAGAAGTGTACTATTTAAAGGGGATTTTAGATAAAATTATTATACTTGTGATCTCTGTTGGTGAACCATAATAAGGTAGTTGGATGGTAACCTCATGACAGCAGAACCAACTCAGTAGCATTGCAGTATGATTCTTTTAATTTAAAATACTTTATATAAAGAAGCAAATTGGTAAATGACTTTAAGTCATGACCAACTACATTGCAATGCTTTCCGCTCTGATATTGGACACTGAAGTAAGTTAAGGACACAGGCAACTTTTAGGAGCTTTCTCAGGGACCTAACTGTCCTAGTTGATAGCCTAGAGAACATGTCTCTAGTTCCTTAGAAGAAAGTACAGTCAGAATTACTGTATGATTTCCTTTCCCATCCTCGATCTCCTTTCCCCATGCCTGTAGTGCAGACCTCTGCCAAGAGGTCTGCATTCCTGCAGTCATTCAGCACGTATTCAAAAATTCTTTGTACTTTGTTGACTGGATTGGTCTCTCCCTCTTCAGGATAACTGTTTAATTTTCTTTTTAGGTTGGAAGTTAAATCTGAAGGTCTTTCTATCACCCAAAAACTCTTGAAACCATGCATAAGGATGGATATGGCTGTTGAAGGTATATTATCACTTTGGGTTTATCTTTTCTTTGTCAGCAAATCAGATGCCTGTACATGGATGGAGCACAAAAGTAGTGAAAGTCGTTTTCACAGTGGCTTGTGAACCTGCCGTCCTTGCTATACTGTGCTCTTATCTTCTTACTGCTGAAGGTATATCTTTATATCCAAAGCACAGACTAGCTCTGCTATGAAAAGGCCCCTTTCTCTGTTTTAGCCCAGGCAGTTGCACACGCAGACAAAATAGAAGTAGAGCCTCTACTGCGCTGTCAGCTTGCAGCCTCATTAGTTCTGTAGAGTTTCAAAATTTTAGATCTACAAGCGTTAAAGCACATGTAACCAAATACTGACCTCAACTGCATCATTTTAAGTGCAGAGAGTAACAGTTTTCATTTGGATTTATGCGAGCGTTGCGGGGAAAAAAATTCTGGTCATGTTAGTTTTACACAAGTTTACAAGGTTGGTTAAGTACCAATATTCACAGCATAACTTTGTTTTGTTACGTGGCAGTTTTGCAAAGTAAATGAATGGTATCTAAGAGTATATTTGTTATGATTAAGTTATTATATGGCTCAAAGGAAGAGCATTGGCAAACAGAGGAGTGTGTTTGTAGCCTCTTTGAGGGTAGACCTGTAGCCTCTGATGAGGTAGGTGTTTGTAGCCTCTTTGAGTAGATGTGCGACTGCTGAATGCAATACCAGTTCTGGCCATTTGCAAGAACTAACACCCACTTTCAGCAACACGGTTGAGGAAGAATGTTTTACGGAGCAACATTCAGAATTAAAACCAGTAGTTGACCAGTTCTTGTGTTTCTCTTTCCAGCTCTTTGTTTCAAACTGCGGTATAAAGGAAATGAGTAGCTGGATAAATATATATTCATTAAAGAATAATCAAGTCAGTTCTTAAAAATTTTTACCTTGAGTAGTTTAAATTCATCGTGCATATAAAATACTGTGATTTCATTATCTGTCAATAAATGCTTTGAATACTAAAAGCATTCTGTCTGGCGCAAAAATGAGATGCTCGAGTGAGAAAACGACCAGTAAAATAATTTTAGTCTAGAAGATTCCCCAATAAGAATAAGAACAACTGCTTTCATAAGATCTGACACTGTATGTCAGTCTGTGCCAATATTATACTGTGCGTAATGACTAGCCATGTAAATCAACCATTTTCTCTTTAAAATTAAAGAGAAAATAGTTTGACTTTGGATCAGTTTAATTGTCCCTTTCCATTAAAAAAACTTTGCACTGTATTAATTGAACAGAAGATCTTGCTTGGTGCTACTGTGTTAAATCCAAGATAAGCTGCAGTGAAAATTGATTACATTCAGTTTAGTAACTCCATTTGCAATGCTTTGTTTTCTTACAATTTCTGTCTGGAGAGGAGGAGAGTTTTTCATGACCCTTTTTAGGTGAATAGGTGTCACAATATTTAGCAACTATCACAAAAATATTAGCAAGTATTTTTCATAACATCATTAATATTTTGAACTGCCTTTAAAATGTTACTAATTTTGTAATATGTTGAGAGATCATGTATGTCAACATGAATAAGAGTAGTTTAATGTTGATAATAGACTGCAATAGCTTCAAGCTTTAACTTCTCTGGATTCATATATTCATTTAATATGTATCACAGAAAGAAAATTAGCTCACTGAAACATTTTGCAAATGCCTGAGGTATCCCAACCTGTCTGTACAGGCATGAAATACTTGGTGGAGTTATTCATCACACAAGTATCCAGTGTATGTTATATTATGTCTGGGTAACAGTGGTGCAAACTCCTTGCCAGGCTTACCAGGCTTCCTGTGCCAAGGCCCGTGTTTGAATTGGAAATGATCTGCTGAAAATTTATGTATATACACTATTGAAGTATACATTGATCAAAAAAGATTCTGAGACAATACAGAGATATAGCTGGTTATTAAAATATAGAGTTTATATAAGAAACTGTGGCAAACCAAATATCAAAATGTTTTATTTCTACACGGGTTTTATAGGTGCTGAAGAATACAAGACATGTCATTCAAAGGAAAGTTGGTTATTTCTTCTAAATAAGCTTAACATGTGCAACTTGCTAATTCATTTTATTCTGGTTTACCACAACTGGTTTGTGAATGGGGCAATAACGTGCTGCTGTCATCCTTGGGGAGCCAAAGCTCACAGGCCTGGCCTGGGCAGTGGTGGAGGCCAGGGGGAGCTTGAGGAGACCAAAGGGGAAGAGAAGGAAGCAAGAGAGAAGGCCAGGCCAATTGAAAAGTGATTCCTCTTAGAAAATGTTTTGAAATATTTTCTCTAGTCATAAGCATGCAAACAGCTTCATAGCTATTTTTATAGTTTTTAGCATAGTCCATACCTGTGAGAAGTTTTACTTTCCTGCTCTCTTTTCAAGTATTCTCTCATCTTCAGACTGGGACAGCATTAATAGATTTAATTAGATATACACACAAGATGATCTTATATTTGCATCATGGGCTGTGTTTTTAACAGAGCTGTGCAACATGCCAATAGTACAAGCTCCAGTCTAGCTGGGGCCTGTTCATTGAAATTCCTTATTCAACCAGACATTTGCAAACAGTGGATTACCCATTGTTTAAAAAAAAAAAAAAAAGGTGGTAAAATAGCTTCTTTTGTGATAGAGAATTGAACTTTTCCTGTCAGATATGTAGTCCTATGTTTCATAAGGATGAACATAACATTATTTTCAGTGTTGTGCTCTGACTATAAAAACACTGACTGTTGGTGGTACTGCTCTTAGTTAGAATACCAGGTTTTTAATGTCTAATTCTGAACTCTGCAGTACACCAAATTTTCTAAGGCTTTAAGGTCTCTTTATCTCCAATAACATGTTCTATAAAACTATATTATAACAGTTAATTGTTTTATGAGTTCAGTCACATGCTTATTCTCAGATTACCAACATCTGGATCCTGTTAGCTGTACCAGTGGTAACTGGGATTTATTGTCTAGTAGGAACAGAGGGGAAACAATGGCCACCTTGTCCCTGCTTCGCTCAGTGTGGGTGAGGAAGTTCCCATTGTCTCCCGACGTTTCCTCCTAAGTGAAACACATTCCATCTTCTTGTAGGTTTGCCCCCCTTTCCCTGTCTCCTGGGTGCCATATGTGACAGGCAAAGGTTTGTGTTTTAAGGGCAAACAGGTTCAAAATGGCTCTTGTTGCAGTGCTCTGAATCTTTTAATTCGGTAGTCTTCCTTCTGAGGACAATAAAGTCTTACATTTTAAAAAAATGTATAATTGTCAGCACCTCAGGAGTGTCAAGGTATTTTCTTCTTGAGCCTCTTTGAGGTATGTAACATGTGCCAAGATACAGTCATGCTCCCCTGGGGGAGTAGGGTAAAGAGAGGAGGCAGAAGAGCTGAGTGAGCTCAAATGAGGACAGAACAGGTCCAAGGGTGGGAGACCAATGCTGCGTTTATTAAATATATCAAATAAACAGGCCGTGAAAGAATCATCAGAGCATACTTGTGAAACTTCATGCTTGACCCCACTTGTTTCATGTCAAAGTTTCTTATCCTGTCTTGTGATATTTTTCATTTTAAGCTTGTATGAGTGGTGTTCTCAGTATTAGTTTTCAATAGAAGGAGAATCATGTAGCTGTAAAAGCCAGATATTTTCTTATCCTTTCACTGAACCTATCTGATAAAAATTGTAAATAAGAGTTACATAGTGACTCTGTGAAAATGAGTAAAGATGTCAGTGAACAAAACATACGATGTGGTTCTTATAGGTTGTGTTTTTAACCTATGAAGTGTGATAGAGAGTGTCTTACGCAGGTGCTTCCTTCATATGCACTTAAGAGTTGGTCCCAATCTGGCTATCAGTTGTGTTGAGTGACATCCCTGCAGGCAAGAAATGTTGTATGGATGTTAACAGAGGGCCTCACTTTAGGGGTTAAATTGTAGGGGTGTGAGGATGTGTTTAAAACAGGGATTTTTATGAATTTGATTCCCTCTAGAAATTGAAAGCATTCAACAAGCATACCACTGAGATGTTTTCAGCATGAAACTATTTTTCTTCTCCATTTATTAGTTATAGTAGAATTTTAAATGCAAGTTCAGTGCAGGATCACTCATCCTTTGTATCTTACACAGTAGAAAAATGAGCTCAAGAAAAACCGATATTTTAGCACTTTATTAAAAATCTATACTTATAAAGAGAAGCAGAATTTTAAAAATCTTTTTGAAATGCTCGTTGTTTGACCCAGCAAGATGTCCTGTCGATGCAAAGGTCGCACTCTCCACGAGATGGCAGTGAAGGTGTATTTTATAGCACCTCGTGAAAATGCATAGTTGTGAAAAACAAGACAAGATTGCGATACCTTAGCTACTTATTAACTATAAAATAACTAGTGAATAAGCAAAAGGCCCCCTCTGCTTGTGGTATTATTGCTTTTTGGTTGCCCCATGTTTTCAAGATGGGAGCGACAGTTTTGCTTTCCCCTAAGGAATTCAGGGATGCTTTTGACCGCTGCTGCCCTTCAGTGGCAGGAAGTGCATGTCCAAAGGGTTGGTATGAGTCCAGACTATTTCTGGACGGTCTCTCCAGCAAGAATGTGCTTTCCCTCCCCTTTTCTCTGCTGCATATGACCTACACTGTGTCCCAGAGGCTCTCTGGCAGATAACCCCTGGGAACTTCCCCTTTTGAGTGTAAACAACTGCTACGGCTGCAACACCTTGGAAAATGTAGTTAGGGGCTTTCTGAAGATGGCTCTTGCTGCTGTCCAGGAAGAGCTGGACAGAATTTCTTGTAGGTTCTTTAATCTAGGAGTTCCCCAAAGCAGCCTTCCCCATGCAAGGATGAGCAGAGGAAAACTCAGCCAGGAACCTAAGGCAGGTTCAGACCCTTGTACCTTATTTGATATTATTATGAGCTCTTTTTACTTATGTAAAACTGGTACAAACAAAATGAAAACGAAAGCCCTAAAAGCAATTATGTAAAGAATATTTTGGAATATTGAAAACAAACAGTTGGAGAAAAA